CTGCTCCCTAAATCTCATCAGCTAATAAAAATGAATAACTAAAAGTTAATTGCTTAATTTAAGAGCCCTGAAAGGGTCCTGTCTGTGGGATAGCGCTGAGTCCTGCCCACAGAAACCAGAATTTCTTTGAAGCAGCCTTAAATTAGAGGCTGAAATCAGAGTGCAGGCATGGGGTCTCTTTCCCAGGGCTCCGAGAGCTGCTGGCTCTTTGTAGTTCGGTTGTAGCGGGAGCTAGTTGATAGCTGGTGACACCAAACGAAGCCTAAGGCTTTCACAAGGCATTTTGGGGAGTTTTTGTGGATTTGTGGTGGATGGTGCTCGGATCTGGGCTGTTGCTGCTGTCCACCCAGGCAAGACCGCAAATCTCTCTATTTGTATAGGGCACAGTGCTGGTCTCACAGCTTCGCTTCACCTTTCTCCGTCCTGTTGGTGTTTGTGACCTGTGTTGTGGGACTCCCAGGTCTGGAGAGAAGTCACCAGCCACCTCCATCCTCCTGCGTGACCCCATCACGGCAGCATCTCTGCAAGCAGTAGACTCTGCTGCCTTCACCAGACCAGCTGTTCTGTTGCTCATCTCTGTTCACTGGGGCTTTTCTGGGCTTGCAGGCTCCCAGAAGTCGTTACAGCTTTCCCCATCTCGGCTTTGGTCTCTCTTCTTCCGAGAGGCATCTTCTGCTTGCGCTGCCTGTGCCCTCGCCAGCTGTGTTTGCAGTGAGCTGTCATGTAGCTGTCGTACCCAGGGGCTCAGGACTCTTCGTCTGTGCTGTCACATCTTCCTCTGCTCACACCCTGCCAACAGCAGCGCCGTGGCCACAAGCAGCTGCTGCGTGACACCCATGGGTGCTTTCCCTCCGTGTTGGTGAAGACCCTGTCTTCTCCAGCTGGCACAGCCAGCAGCAGGGCTGGTGAGGGCTGTGGGAGGAGGGCTGGGGGTCCCGAATCCTGTTTTGCTGGAGCTGTGACTCCGCTTTCCTGGGACAACGCAAGAGCATTTGTTGAAGGGAGGCTGTTTTCAGCACATCTTTGCAGAAGGCATCGGGGAGCAAACCTTGGTGCTGCAGGGTGACAAGGTGAGGTCCAAAGAGGTGCCCTGGGTATGGGCAGAGAATCCAGCAAGTTGGAGGCTGGCTGTAGGGCAGCGTTTTCTCTTAATCTTTGCTTTCATTGCATGACCGCCTGACTTCACGACCTCAAAACCTGCAGTGCCAGCTCTGAGCTCCTGGCAGAGCTTCTCTCCGCACTGTCCATGCCACAGAGCCCTGGCTTGAAGGAGAATCTGTGCCCAGCACTATGCAAATACTGACTTGAAAAGTCCTCCAAGAGGGCTGCTACCCAGTAACTAGTCCAGGTAGCTCCAGTGCACCAGGAGAGGGTTGGTGTTGCTGATTTTCAAGGGAGAATTGTAGGTGTTCAGGAACAAGCTTGACGCAATTCCCCCATCTTGGGGAAGAGATACCATCTTTAATGACGTACAAGAACCGCCACTTCTGAAATATTTCCTTAATTGTGCATCTTGCGACCCAGGCAGCAGCATCCATCTCCATCAGGCATCTTTCAGGAGAGCGCGTGGGTACACACATCAGTGGATCTCTGGAGAAGGAAGGTTCTCGGTGGTGGTGTTCTTTGGTGAAGGTTGCTCCTGTGTGTGTTGAAGGCAGGAGCTTTACGGACTGTACCGGAGCCACATTGCTCACGGGGTAGTCGCGCATTATCCATTTCCACACCTTCCATTGTGTTTTTTCCAGCCACTCTAGCAGGAGACAGCAGGTCCCTGCTCCACCCCAGGGACCCAGAGGACACTTGAGGAAAGAGAAGCTGTTTAGCAAAAGCAGGGCAGGCTCTTTCTTCTCTCCTGCCACAATTTGGGCACGGGAGCTCTGTGAGGTGAAGACCTGCTGCGGGAGGGGGACGCCCCAAACCCACAGTGCTATGGCTGGATGCTCTGACCCCTTCCCTCTTTGCTCTGTCCCCAGTAAAGGCGCAGTGCAGGCTGTTCAGGCCCAGAACCAGATCTGCGTCCTTGACATCGACATCCAGGGTGTGAAGAACATCAAGAAGACAGACCTGAACCCCATCTACATCTCCGTGCAGCCTCCGTCCATAGACATCTTGGTGAGCGACCGCCTTCCTTTGCCGTTAAGCAGTTAGAGGTAATCAACGTCTTGCTCTGAAGCAATGGGGGTTCCCGCCTCATTGATTCATCTGTATGTTTTTAAGGGCCGTAGAATAGGTGAGGAGGACATTTCTGAGCACACTGTTACCTCTATCCACCCTAGCTCCCCAGCCTATGGCTCCTAGGGATAAATCTTCCTGTGCCCTGTTTTTTGAGTCCCTCCTGTACAGTTTCCACACCTTGGCATGTTTGCATGCATTAGGTTATAGGCTCCACTGCAGCGTGGCCAGCCTTTAAATGCATTAGTTGTGCTTCGTGCTGGGGAGAGAAGGAGATTTTTCTGCAGAAACTTGTCTCCAGCCATGAAAGGTAAACCGAGGGAGGCTGGTTCTCTGCGGCACTGGAAATCCTATACCTCTCTGGTCTTATGGGGCCCTATATAATAATAATTGCAGCATGCCTCTCGCAGAAGTGAAACGACTGTCATGGTTTGGAGAAGGATACGGACAGATACATGCGACTTGCTGAAGCCATGCAAGGAGTACGTGGCAGTGAAGGCCACAACTCTTGGCTCTCCTCTCTTGCTGTCAGTAGATCAGGCAGTCTGTGTTTCTCGTTGAGTTTGTGGAGGAGGAAGCCAACAGCACCAGATGCCAGAGCCCAGCAGAGAGCTTTCATCTCCCAGCAGTACCTGCAAAAAAAAAAAAAAACACCACTCCAAAAAAACAGGGGGAGGGAAAAAGAGCAAATGGCAGACAGCACCGGCTTGTGGGGTGGGTGGTGGTTTCTGTGTGCAGCATTTGGAACGTGCATTTCTTTAATATGTCTGTCGCTGGGTTTAGGAAAAAAGACTACGTGACCGGAAGACTGAGACAGAAGAAAGTTTACTGAAGCGTTTGACTGCAGCCCGCGTAGATTTGGAACTTAGTAAGTCCAGGGGCCTTCAAGTGATGTGCGCAGGCAGAGGGGACATGCTGGCGATTTAGGAACTGCTTTTTGCATGAACATTTTGGCTTGTGTTCTCCTAGAGGTGCTGGCAGGGCTTGGACGTTAGCTGAGTTTGATCTAAGCACCGTACTGCATCGTTTTCCACCGCAGTTCATTGTGGGCGGTTGGCAGAGAAACGCATTAGCAGTGGCTGAAATAACAATATTAAAATGCCACAGGAACTCGAGTCGTGCATGAGAAATGACACAGGGAAGAAACATGTTCTCTAACTCCTCTGTCCTCGTCTGCTTCCTCAGGTAAAGAGCCTGGCCTGTTCGACTTGGTCATTATTAACGATGATTTAGAAAAAGCCTATTCCGAATTGAAGGAGATACTCCTGGAGGTGAGTTGTTCGGGGCTTTTCTGGCTCGCTCCCCGGGCAGGCATCACCTCTAGGCTGAGCAGGTGAGGGTCTGTCTATAGGCAGCCATAGAAATGTGACCTCATGCCCACACTTGATCTGGTTTGAGCTGCTGAGTGACATAGTTGAGCAAGAGATTGCGTACAGGTGATGATGGATCAGTGGCCTAAGAGTGGGAAACAGATCCAGCACGGTACTCTCTTAGGGGCAAAATAAACATACATCCCTGGACAGTATGGAAGGGGTGTGCTATTTTTGAAGACCCTTTAAGTCAAACCTTGCTTTGTCCCTAAAGGCTCGTGCGTAAACTCTGGGCTTGGTCCTGTGATGCTGTGGAGCTGGTCTGAGGAGATGAGCACTCCTCGTCTCCAGAGCTGTGAAACTATGAGTTGTCCCCAAAGCATGGCAGATGCTCAGTTGTTTTCCTGATCTCCTTGCAGGAAATCAAGAAGACCCAAGAATCCAGGAAGTCCTGAGCTGAGCCTGCTTGGACATTTTAACTTTGCACATCATTCTCGAAGCACGTCGCACCATTTTATTCCGAGAGACATTCCCTTTAGGCTGATCCTCCTCCCAAGTTACTCTAGGATGTTTCTATTAAAAGGAAAGAAAACAAAACCCGGTCGCGCTTGCGTTTCTGTTCACCACGCGCTCGGCGTGTGCTCTCCCAGGCTTGTACCTCAGGCAGGCGCTTTGGAAGCGATTGCACGGCATCTGCTGCCAAAGGGCAGAGCTGTTCTGCGAGGCTGTAGAGGAGCTGTCTGGGCACCTGCGGCCCTGGCACGTGGCTTAGGATCCCACTGCGATATTTGTGGAGGTACATGTTGTGCCAGCTAATCCCACTCAATAAAGTGGAGTGGATTTAGCTTGATGTGACCCCACTTCCACCTGCAGATGGAGAGTCTTCCACCTCTACTGGCACCTGATGTCACGAGTGTTGGCATCCTCTGGGTCCTGCTTCCTTTTGCAGATCTGGCTACAGCTTCTCCAGCTATTTCTGATCGTCTCTGCCTGCTGCCCTGAGCCGCTGCGGTGCTGTGTTGTGTCGCTGCGGCAGAGCGGCACGTCGGCACGGCTCGGCTGTTCTAACCACAGTCCTTGTGAACAGATGGGTTGTTTAACAAGCCGAGAGGAGAAGGGAATGGTTGCAGGACATGATCTATCCGCTGCCTTTTTGTTCTGTGGGAAAAGTACTGTGAGCTTCTCCTCCTCTGCCATCAATCTTGTAATTCACGTGTCCTTTTTGTTCCACTTGAGTTTAGGTACGGTAGATTTTTAGATTCTCTTAGACCTACAAGTTGGGGGAGAGAAGATTTCCTTCCCAAGCTGTGCAGCCTTTTTGGTTGATGTGCTTGAGGGCAGCAATAAATCCCTTTTCCTAGGAGGGATCCGTTTGATCTAGCCATTGTCCCTCGTACTGGTCTCTGGCCTGAGACGGAGAGAGCTTTACCAGACGAGGGACTGGGAAGATGCTTTGCACTTCCCTTCCCCAGCTTTCTTCAGCTTTAACGTGACGCTTTCCTGTAACTTCTGAGCCGTTTGGTCCCTCCAGCAGGTTGATTCCTGAGCCTCCTTGGAGGAGTTTATTCCTCACTGAGCCCCTATTTTCAAAGCACCTCAGCCTTCACCAGAGGTAGGGGTGGGAGAGACAAGCGATGTTGCATCCAGTACCTCCCCGTGGTTAACCTGGTTTTGGGCTGCAGGGAAGGAACAGTAACTGCAAACGGGTGTGCGGCACAGCCCCTCGCAGGCGTTGCTTATCCCAGAGCCTGTTGTCCCGGAGGACGCAGGCGGTTTGCATTTGATCCTCAAGAAATGACGAGTCTGTCAGAGCTACCATCCCACAGCTTCCAGCCGTCTCCCCCAAAAACCAAACCCAAATCACGCTGGCATCGTGCACACCACGAATGACTGGACCAAGCAATGCCAGGCTCTGATATTTTCCTCACCAAAACGACATCTTACCAGAGCAGGTGTGTACCTTACTGGGTTTCGTCCTCTTCATACCCCATTTCTCCAGTTTACCCAGCTGCTCTGCTCCAGCACTCTTACAGTACTTCTTGGTCTAGGTCACCTCCTAATTCACTAAGCTCCATCCTCCACGTTACGGACAGCTGCAAGCAGAACCAGACCTCGGGCAACCCTTTTCAGTACCTTGCTTGCTTTCAGAAAGGTGATTTGATGATTATTTTGATCACTGACCTCCCTTGGGCTGTTTTAAATATATTTTTCCAGGATTAGAGTGAAATACGCCATTCTGCTGTCATGTTGTGAGGTTCTAGCTTTGGTTAAATGAGTGGGAAAATGCTCCTCAAAATTTTTCTGGGGCTGTACCTGCTTCACAGCATCTGGCTTTCCCCATCCTCATGGTGTGAATTGCTGCGGGCCAGGCTCTTCCTGCGGTGGCGAGTGACAGACTGTGACTTTTATTTTTTTTTTATTTTTTCCCAAATCGTGGGGTTTCGTTATGTTTTTGAGGGCTGCAATTTGCAATGGGGACACGTCCCCTCTAGATGGCAGAAATGACAGCAGGAAAACGCAGACGGGCCCGCGCTTTGCGGAGCAGTGAAACGCAGAGGTGCAGGACACGGCGTTGGTCTCAGTCCGCTGGTCTCCAGCCACCGAGTGGGACCTGCGGTGCTGTCACCAGATGGAAATGCCCAACCGCTGCCTGCTCAGCCCTCCCGCCAACACCCCGAGAGCTGCACGGCTGCCAGCCCTGAGCCCAACCTCCAGGAGAGGTGAGTGGTACCCGAGAACGGGAAGGGACGATGCTTCAGCCATCTGGCAGCACTGCCAGCCCTTGGAAAATTGGGAAGAAAAAAGTCATTTAGATTATTTGTGTCCCCCTTCCCTGGTGGTAACAGAGAGAGAAGTCCTAAATAACCCGCCCTACATGGGGTGACCTGCTTTTAGCGGCTGCTGTTGTGTCTGATGGAGCGAAGCGGCGACTGCCTGGATGCCCGGCGCTAATGTGAAGTGATGGGTTGGCTGTCGGGACGGCGATGGGGAGCGGAGGGACTGGGAGCGGGTTGCTGGAGCCGGGATGGTCGCCAAGCGGTTGATAACGGTTGTTGAGCATCTCTTGTGAGTCGTTTTCGGGTGCTGTCAGCCATGCCTTTCTCTGTGTTTGGTGTTTTGGAGAGGCCATGCTGCACATCGAATCTTATAACTGGGTGGGCGAAGGCACCTGTTGAAATTAGTTTAATTCCTGCATCCTTAAAAATGGGATGTCTATTTTATTAATTGCATTTGCAGACAGAAATATCTTTCCAGATCCGTATTTTCGGTGCTTTCTTCTTGGGGCTGCAGCCATCCCCGCATCCCTGGGGCAGGCAAGGGGCGGCGCACCCCAGTTGCGGCAGCAGCCGAATTCAGGGTCCTACCCGTCCGCAAACAGCAGCTCCCGGTGCTCGATGTGGGGCTGGGGACGGGCTCGAGGGATCAGACTGTGGCAAAGTGAGGGTACAGGACTCTCCCTGCCCAGGGCTTTTCTGTGATTAAAGGTGCTGGTCCTGGGGGACCCTATTTCCACCCAAGAAGATCTTCCAGGCAGGAAGGTGTTGAACGTACCAACCAACAAGTTTGGAGCATTTTGGGATGAAGGACAAGAGGAAGCTCAGCCTGTCAAATGTGGTTTTATTTAGCTGTCCCAACAGCCATTTAAAACCTCATCGCCTGGCTCCACGGGACCACTGGGATGAATTCTGCCCTCCCCCCCCCCAAGCATCGCTGTGACTCCGGCTGAGATGTCAGTCGCTCCATGTCGGGGTACACCCGATTGAAAGAATGGGCTTGGTCCTGGGTTGCTTGCAGAAATGTCAGAAAAAGGGATTTATATATATATGTATATACATATATGTGTATATAGATAAATTTTTACTGTTCCATCAGACTGGGGTAAAATTGGACAGATTTCAGCTTTTATCAGCTCTGCGAGATGCTGTGGGAAGAGTGGCTGGACCCTCCTCATCCTACATCCCTGCAGGAGGAGGATGCTGGGGGAGGAAGGCTCATCCACGCGAGAAGGGTGCGTGGGATGGTATGAGGAGCCATGCCAGGAAAAAGCTGGGATAAAACCTGTCCTGGAGACTCTCCCCGACTGGGGTTGAGGGTATTTTGAAGCCGATGCCAAAAAAAATAATAAATCCCCGTAGCACTTTTGCTTCAAAACAATTGCTTTGCGGTCTTGCTCTTGTATTTTTTGCTGAATCCGGGCTGACACGCTGCTTTTGGGGCAGGAGCTGATCACTTTTCCCACCTTCCTGCCCATCCAAGGTCTTTGGCAATAGAAATACTCCTTCAAGGGGCGAACGTGGGGTTGGTGGCTTTAGACGCAGAGGTGACCTCTGCTTTTACCCAACGGCACCGAGATACTGCCTGGGAAGGACATCATGCAGGGATGCATGAGGGCAGGCAGTCCCCGAAGCCAGTGCCCAGATCATCCCAGGGAAAGCCAAGGAAAGCTGGAACCACACTCCAGGATAGCTTCAAGTTGCCAAAATTAGCTCAAAGCCTGTGGCTCCTTCCAGCATCACACCCCTCCTCATGATCCCACGGTCCAGAGATTTGTCCTCGCCGTGGCTTTTCTTGGCATCTCAATGCTTTTGGAGGCAGCCCTGATTTTCAAGCTTGCTTCCATGCTGTTGCAAAAAGGCACCACGGGGCAGAGCCGCCCTGGGAAATAATTGGGTGGCCGGCGTATAAAATAAGCAACGGGGTAAAAAGAGTAGGAATAATCATGGTTTTCTTGCTTGCCCATCAGTGCCCGGCTTGCTCTGCGCATGTGCTTCCCATGGCAAGTGTTGGGATTTAGCATCCTGGGTACAAAAGTGTGATGGGACGTGCTCGTGTTGGTGCACGAGCGTGATGTGTGATGGGTAGGGCTTTGGCTACAGCGACCTGAGTGCTGTCAGAAGTAGTTATAGGGGAGAAAAACCTTATTGCAAGCCAGCCTGGGCTCCACGCACGCATTTAGGACCTTCTGGAGAGGTCATTCAGCACATCAGTGGGGTTAGTGCTGGCTGGCCCTGGCACGGCTGAGGGCTCTGATGCCACCAGGTACCAGCTCTCCGGCAAAACCTATTTTTTTTCTGCTGTATCCAGTGCCTGCATTTCCATCGGTGTGCAGCAAACCTCTTCTAGGAAATCCTCCAGCAGTCTGCATGGCTTCAAAGAGGAGCCGAGAGCCTTAGTGCAGGGGGTTTGGGGTGTCATCCCTCACCCTGGGGTCACCCTTCTGCAGTGGAGCCCCTGGGTGAGACCTGCCGGCGCTCCCCAACCCACTTCGGTGCAAAATCCTGACTTTGCGCTGGAGCAGATGAGGACCGTGCCTGTGGAAGCAGGAGGGAGGTGGGCTTGGGAAGCTGGGGATGGCTTTTTCTGGCTGAGAAATCCAGCCACGCTTTTTTATTTTATTTTCTTTTTAAGGGGATGTAGCCGAGATTGGTCTTATGCCGGGTGATGTGGTCCCTGGCCAGGGATGCTGACGCCCTTTTTGTGCTCTCCCACAGGACAGCGAGGTGACCACCAAGTTTCAGCTGCTCCTGCTTCACGCTGAGACCCCCATCAGCACCACCAGCACCAATAACAGGTAGGTCCCATAAAACCAC